CCCTATCAGGTCTGTTTCTCTGAAGAATATCGACCAATATAGATTTTGGTACCAAGAAGTGAGTATTTCTGTAACAAATACCTTAAAATGAGGAAGTGACTTGGAAAAGGGAAAATGGTGAGAGTGTGGAAAAGTTTTGAGCTGCATAATAATAAAACCCCTGATTACCTTGAAAACACTATTAGTAGGAATATGGGTGTCACAGGTCTGTTCAGGTCTTGGACAGAAATAAGGAGCATGCTACTGGAATATGGAGGAAACGAACTCCTTGTTCTAAAGTGGAAAGAGTCTGAACCAATTGTGTCCTAGAGTTGGGTAGAAAGTAAGACTTGTGGGTCATGAACTTGGATGTTTAGCAGAGATTTCCAAGCAAAGTGTTGAAGGTGTGAACTTGTTTCTCCTTGCTGATCATCATAAAATGTGAGAGAGGAGAGACGTGTTAGATTGAATCGTTAAAGCATCAGAATTTGAAGATTGAGATAATTTTTCACCTATCTGTGTTCCAAAAAAAATAAGAAAGCTTGTTCTTAATAGTTCTATTCAGAACTAAGGGGGCGACTGAACAGCCACTTGATAAAAGTTCAGTATGAGCATGAGCCACAAATAAGGAGGCTGGCCCACTGGGATTAAAGAAAAGAGAGAAAGCGAAACAGAAAGAAGAAGGACTGTCAGCCTCCTAGGTTCTAGGAGATGTGACAAGGACATGATCTGACGGCAGACGTGCCTCATCCTGTAAGAAAAGATTCCCTGAAGGGGGTCCAGTGGCAGAGCACATGCCCAGAGGGACATTGGGGAGAGGGCTGTGAGCCCAGAGAAGAGGCCTCAGAAGAAACCACACCCATCAAAACCTGGATCTTCACTTCCAGCCTCCAGAACTATGAGAAAATAATTTTTTAAAATTTATTTTTAAATTTTAGTTTGTTATATGAGAAAATAGATTTTTGTTGTTTAAGCTGCCAGTCTATGGTACTTTGTTGTTTTGGTCAGCTTTTTGTCACTGTGATCAAAAGACGTGAGAAGAACAACATAGAGGAGGAAATTTTTATTTTTGTTTGTGGTTTTACAGGTTTAGTCCATGTTTGGCCAAGTCACAGCTCTGGGCTCAGGTGAGGCCCAATGGAAGAAAGTTGTTCCCCTCATGGCAGTGTCAGGAAGCATAGAGAAAGCTCTGCTCACCCCAAAGGCACACCTTAGATACCTATCTCCTCCAACTACACCCTATCTGCCTACAGTTTCCACCCACTTAATCCATAGCAGTGGATTAATCCACTGATTAGGTTACACCTCTTGTAATCTAATCATTTCACCTCACATTGTCTCACAGGAGCTTTGGGAGGACACCACATATCCAAACCATAACATTTAACCCGAGTAGACTAATATAGTGCATTATACTTGACGGGGAAATACATCTTCAGTGTTGTGAATAGTTCAGAGCAGGACAGATGTTTAACAAAGGTACTAGAGGTCAGCATGTGCTCAGAAGGACAGGGTGTCCTTGAGAACATGGAATTTGTTGATCATATGGCCAGTGAACAACCACAGGCCAGGGAGGGTTGGAGGTAGTTCATTCAGAGTTAGGAGCCCTAAACCACCAGGCAAGGATTTATTCTTCAAGCTCGATGTTCAAGTGAAGCAGTAGGTCTGGGGTCAGGTCTGAAATCTTTATTTACTACAAGTTCATCAGGTTACACCGGTGCTCCTGGGAAGGAAACTGTGTACTGCATCTAAGAACCGATGATCCCGTCCAACCTCACTCCGGACTTTCTGTATCCTGGAAAGGCTGAGAACTGGAGACTTCCAGGGAAGGTAAGTTAGTTTCCTGCTTCAGGAGGGAAGCAAAATAAAAATAAAAATGCTGTTGCTTTCCAGTGGGGATGATGTTAGCCATAATGACAATGATGACAACAGTCCTTGATATCACCACCCTCCCACCTGCTGTGCGGACGTCACTGTGAAGCGCAAGTGAAGTCATCCATGCAAAACTCACTGCTTAAAGTTCTAAACAGTGCAGACATGTTGCAGTGTTTCTATAAAATGATGTAAAGTGGACTGGGAGTTGATGCTATCAGGTGTTTAAAAGTTAAAGATTGTGAACTGTTTTGTATCATATTTACCCTTGAAACAGGAGTCCCTGCCTAAGTGACACTGGAGAGCCACTTGGCTAATGGTTAGATGCATCCCTCTCCTGGGATTGAGTCTGTCAGTGTTGCTAGCACTCTGATTTCTCACAGTGCTGACTGAATGAAGGCAACGAGGAGCTGAAGTCACCAGGACTCTTGGTGAGGTTCTGAAATTCCTGCCATCTTTAGGTTAGGCTGAGCAAAGACCTGAGGCACCAAAGAGGCAAGAGCTAGGCCCAGGTGTTTGCAAGAGGCAGGAGACACCCACTTATGGACTCTGTTCTTTGGGATACAAGGATTTGAAACCACTAGTGGGGAAGAGAACCCTGTAGGAACCCTGTTTCCCAGCTAGTGGATGATCCCACACACAAGATCTGTCATCACTAGAAGTAACTGCAGTGCCTGAGCAGTGACCACAAACATCCAGGCACATGGACAAAAGAGCCAGAGTGAGCCGGACACATGGTACATGCTGTAAACCCAGTTAGTCCAGAGGCTGAGGCAGGAGGACTGCAAAGAGCAAGGCTAGCCTTGGCAATTTAAGGAGACCCTGTCTCAGAATAGAAAATAAAAAAGGCAGCAAGGGAAGAGAAGTGGAAAGACAGGAAGTTCTGGCGATTTGAATGAAGAAAACTGCATTTATGAATGTTAAAATGAGCCCCACTATTATGACTACAATGCACTAAATTTTTTTTTTCATTAGAATAAAAAAATAAGAAAGGGCTGGAGATATGGTTCAGTAACAGAGTGCCCCTGAGTTCATTCTCCTACATCACAAAAAAGAAAAGAGAGAGAAAAGGGAGAAAGAGATAGGCTTTATTTGGGAATGATTTTTGTGTTGCTAGTTTTACTGTGATTTCACAAAAAAAGTGTGAAAATTTCATCAGTATGTTTTCTGTTCCATAACAGCCTTTTCTTGCAACTCTCTGGATAGTTGCTGCTTGCCCTGGGCGTGAGGGTGACACTTCCCATGGCTGGTGATTAGCATGTTGACTTTGGACTTGAGATCTGACACAGGTGTACTAAATAAGGAAGAAGGAGCTTAGACAGAAGGGCGAGAAGGGATGCTGGTGTCCTCTCATGAAACCTGTTTGCTCATCATTGCCAAAGAGATGCTCACTAGTTCCTGCTGTTTTCTTGATAACTACTGACTGGGAGAAGCAAAATTTGAGAGTGGTTCATTTAAAAATAGCTTGTTTTTATAGTTCCTGGGCAAGGACATACGGAAATGAGTTTGACAAGTTAAATGTTAAGATTCTAATACTATATACAACACTTTAAGTACATTACATGACCTTGCAAAGGACAGGTCTAATCTTTTTAAGAGAGGCACTTTTCCTGCATTGACCTTCCTCCTGCCCTGCTATCTTCCAGGGAAAGAAATGCTGTCTCCCACCCAGCATCTGAAGTCACAGAACATCTGGTAGTGTTTGATTTATTTTGTGGTTGAAGATAGATTTTTTTTTTAAGTCTCTAGTTGTGTTGGGTAGATTCTAATGAATGTGCCAGAATATATCATCTCTGGGTTGTTAACTCTGATAGAGGGAACAGGTGTAACATTTAATGTACATTAAGATAGTGTGAACATTTCATAGTTGGGAAATTGATAAATCGAGACACTCTCATTCACATTCTTTATACAGTTAAAACAAACCACCACCAACAGGCTGGAGAGTAAAACCCCTGATCAAGGGAAGGACCACTAATACATTTCACATTTTTGATTCCTGTACAGGAAACCATAGGAAGCTCTGCTTACCAGATGGAAACTGGACAAGAAAGAGAAATGACCAGAATTGTCAAGGAGATGGTGAGTAAGATATTAAAAAAAAAAAAAAACTAACAGTAATTGGTTTTAGGTGTTGACATATTTGAGTGATTTTTGTTTTTTTTCTCAATTCTTTTCTCTATTTCTACAATAAACACGAGTGTTTCATATTCAGAAAAATGTTATTATCAAATTATCTATTAGATCCTTCAAGCACACAGTTCCTCAATGCCTAATTGTATCCCTGGTGCCCCACAGAGGTCCTGGAATACAGTTGGTGCAACATAAGAGTTTGCTACATGAATGAAGCATGATTAATTTCTAGGAGGACTCACTCGTTTTCACATCCCAGCCAATGCACAGGCAGGAAGGGGATCTGCGCAGACAGCAGGAGCGGCTGGCTGGCGTTTGGCAGGCTGGTACACAGCTCCCGATGACATGGGGTTCCCAGCTTTGTTCAAGCTCTTGGAGTCCACGCCCGTGTGTAAGGTTGGCCCCATGAGTCAGAGCTCCAGCTTCAGTTACACTCAAGGCCAATTAGCTAATGAGCTAAGAGAGGGATAAGAGAGGACACGAGGAGAGAAATTCAGCTTGGGTTTTGAAAAGATGCCAACAGCAGGCAGCATTTTTCAGTGATTCCTTCTTGTACATTGTGTCACTGACAGTGGAGTGGTTTCTGGTTGGGACCTGCAGGAGGAAACCTTCTGAGGACTGTGCCTCTGCTTGAGTCTAGGGAAAGAGACACCTGGCACCTGTCCCTCCGCACTCTTCAGTTGTCATTACCCAGATTTCTCCCTGAGCAGGTACATGCCTCCATGAGCATTCTGTGTCTCTGAGATGGTCGATCGTGATGCTGTGAATCAAAACATATAGAGAAACAGGAGGGCCACAGGTCCTCTCACTGACCTCGACATGAGTAGTAAATGTGGGACCAGCCCTCAGGGGTGCATCCAGGGCAGTCTCTTGGACTGCTTCCTGGTCTGTGCTCCTTTGTGAACACAAGCACAATACCTCCTTGCAATGCTGCACACAGTGACTGCAGCCAGGACCCAGGTAACACAGCCCCTGGGAGCCTGTTAGTGCAAACCCCTGCCTCTGCTCATCCCTTTCAAGTGACACCAGGTGTTAGGCTGTGTTCCACAGACTCTGAAGATAAACAAAGCTGGAAAGGGACTGGGCTCTTCCTCCCACTGCTTCCCAGGAGTTCACACACACACACACACACACACACACTCACATGAAGTGCAAACTATATTGCCTTCAAGTAGGAATTCTGGAAGAATGTACAAAACAAAAATAAATGCACACACAGTAAGTTTGCAGCCGTCTGCAGAGCTCCTAATCTGGAATTCAAGGGCATCTGTGAAGTCCCTTTTCCCACAGATGATGACTCATTCACAGGCTCTGAGGATTAAGATGTGGACATCTTGAGGGTGGGGGGTACTTATTCTTAACGACCATGGTATGAATTATTAAATCCAATTTTAAGAAATTTAAAAGAAATTTGGGGTACACAGAAGCAAACCACTCATTCAAGGCTCTAGAACTAATTAAGTCAGGGGAGTGAAACCAAATTCAATCCTTTGGCTCCAGAAGGGCTCTGGTCAGGAAGTTAGACTAGTTAAATGAATGACAGGGATAACAAAGAACAGACCCCAGGAGTTTCATTTGCTTTCCATATGTTGAGTAATTCCTGGGCAGAAATACTGTAAGAAGTTAAATAGCCCCAGGAGGCAGAAGACAGTGTAAGGGTCCGGCGAACGTCGGAGGAAGAGACCACCAAGAGACCGACTCATGCAACAGCAAAAGGGGGTTTATTGAAGTTCCAGTGTGCTGGGGCCCCGTGCCCACTCAAGAAGGGAGAGCGGCCAAGAGCCCCGAGCAGGGGTTGAGCAGTGCTTAAGTACACTTTTTTAGGGAGGACAGGGACTTTACATACATCACAGTCTCCTTTAACAAATCACCATACACCGTGGGAAAATCAAACAACAATTCTCAAACATGATTAGTACATTCATTGGCGGGTACAGGTCGGGCAGGAGTGATAGGTCAATCCTAAGGAGGGTATACATTCAAACTGATTGGTTTGGGCTCTGAATGCCTACATGCCAAACTGCACAGGGTCCAGGTTATTTAACAACTAAATGGTCAGGGGGAATTGATATACCTAGCCTAGTTATCTCATTAGATCAGAAGCCAGCTTGTCACAAGTTATGAAGGATTCATTTCTGTTTTCTGTAAAAATATCAGGATGTCTGTATGACCTGGCCATTAGTTGATGTTGTAAAGCTGATTGGAATGCCTGCCTGTGCCCTGAACTCACCCAGGTCCGGTTTTCCCTGACCATATAACAACCCTTTCCTAAACCTTAGTGATGTCTCATAAATTCTGGCCTTCCCTGGCCAGATAACAACCCTCTCTGAGTCTCTAAGATCTCCATAAATTCTGATGCCGGGGCCAGCAAAATGTAAACTTGTGTTATGCTCTTCAGAGTGTTGTTATCTGTAACCCCCCTTCGTGTAATTTTTGGGGCTATAAAACTGGGAAACAAAGAAGCCTCGGGGCTGTCCTTGGCTCCCACGATTTTGAGGGGCAAGGCAGCCCGGCCGGTCGGAATAATAAGCTTGCTTTAATTTGATTTTAATTGGAGTCAGTGGTCTTTTCTTGCATCGTGGTCTAACAGAATATCTACTGGGCAGTCCTGGGAATTGTCCTAACAGCTACAGGAATTTCAGGTTTAGAGTGTAGCATAGGAGCTTAACAATACCTGGTCCTTTACATTTTAACTCAGACTTTGCAGCTTAGAAACTTTACCCTTTCAACAGGAGAAGAGTAACTCACAAGTTTTCAAGCTTGTCTTTAATGTCTCAGTCCCCCTTTCTGCCTCTTTTTCTTCTCTTTCATCCTTAAGTTTCCAGTGTCCTATGATAACAATGCTAATTCTTTGATAAAACGTATTCATAGCAGGCATGTTGGTTGTACAATGAGAAACACTGTCTCCTGAGTGCACGGGTGGTGGGAGGTGATGGCCAAGGGTTATATCTAAAGGTGAACTTCCTTCAGCAGGTTTGGGTGTGATTTCTGGGAGTGGTTGCAGGACTTGTGACTGACATATTGGGATCCCCAGCTCTCCCCCACACCCTTGTACATAATTCTTTCCTCTAAGTGAACATACTGGCCCACTCCAGCAAGGGTGTGGCCTGCGGGGTCTTTTCCCGAAGTTTCTGCTCCCAAATCTTGTCAAGGCCCTAGGCATAGGTGGGGAGACCCCGGTAGGGAGACCCTCATGGGGAGGAACTGCATTTGTAACTTTACCTCTTAGAGGTAGATGACTGAGCAATATGGGTGGAGGCCATTGGAAAAGAGAGCTATGTAGGAGTTATCTAATGAGAATGCTTATCATTTATACCTGATACCTGGCACAGTAATCGCTGAGTACTGTTGGTGTAAATATGGGAGTTTTTCCCATGTTCTGTTTTCATGGTTGTATTATTCATTCATTTACTTTCTTCTGAAGATCAACATTTTTTAATTGTTACAAAGCACAAAGCATGATGCTATGAATGAGCTACTTCTTTGTCTTCAAGAAGCCAAAACATATAGCAGGGAAGAGGCTGCACACCAATTACTATAGTGTGTGATCAATGCTAGGAGAGCTCATCTGAGGTCCCTAGCTCCTGAAGGATAGGGCAGAGAGATAGCACACCTGTCTACGTTGGCTGGAGAGGGGGAAGTGTGGATAGATGAGTCAGAATTCCCACTGACAGGGGACTTCCCCCATAGATTCTGAGCAGAGGAAACAGGGTGTGGGAAGTGCAGGTAACAAATTGCACCAGGACAGGTGGCCCATATAGAGTGACAGAGGCAAACAGGAGTAGGTGCCTTGTCACATCTGAGTTATGTGCCAAGACTAACTTGCTGGGGGTGGGAGTGACGTGAGGTGGGGAGGCAAGGAGTGAGGCACCCAGATTTGTCCTGAGAGAGAAAGAAGCCAGGCAGAAACCCAATTAGAAGCTTATATTAGCCCTGGTCAGCAATAATGGGTATATTGGAACATCATTGTCCATAGAAATGTAACTCGAGCATTGTAATTTTGCGATCTGTTGAGCACTTAAATAAAAAGGCACAGCATACATTAATTTTAATAATGTATTTTATTAATCAGACATAACCAAAATATTATCTTTTCAACATGCAACCAATATTAAAATGATGAATGGGACATTTTGCACTAACGTTTCAATATCAGTATGTTTCTGTGCTCCCTGCTCACCAATCGCACCATACAAATGCCAAGTGCTCAGCAGCCGCCAACCCCCACCCCCGCCCCCTGTGGTCAGCTGTCCAGTCCAGCGTGAGATGGAGGCAATGGGTCTGCAGAGTGGACAGGGACACGGAACACGGGACACATTTTGTACCCATGAAAGTCCTTTGTGATTGGTATGGCTGTATGTATAGGATGATGGATCTAAAGAGTTAGGAGGAATGTTGACTGTGTTCCTGTGCAGCCAGTGGTGAGCCAAGCTCCTTTTACAGGGGTAGCATCCCAGCCTGGGCTGCACATTGGACTCCTCTAAGGAGTTTTTTAAAAAAAGCTTTGATCCCATCCCAGAAATTTAACCAGTTGTGCTGGGGTGCAGCCTGGGCTTGGGGATCCGAAATGCAGGCTATCCTGAGAAACTTTGGTCACAGCCCCCACCCTGGGGGCAGTCTTGGAGATGGTCCTAATCTTTCCAACCAGAACCTTCTTTTGTGAGCCCCCTCCATCCTTCACCCATGACTTTTCTACTCAATTCATGGTGTTTTCTCTTGTATTCTTGTGTTTAGGTTTATAATTCACTCCCTTGACACATTTTTCATTTTCTGTTCAAAAATCTACAGCACAATTATTTTTACTATACAGTTTTAAATGGGCATCAGTTAGGTGAGTATTAACAGTCATGCTCTATATTATTTTTAATATTTGGGCACTAATAAGTATCATAAGATCAGACATGGGGAATGCAGAGTTCCATGGCTAAGGGTCTTCACTCTGTGGCCCAAATACGATCTTATGATCTTGCTGGGGGAATTTTAAATAGTGCAGAAAAATCTTAGTAATGAGCACATGTTAGGAAGTTAATGAGCACTGAGTTGATTCAGTTGGGCTAAGAGCCCTGTGGTTTCCCAGGGACTGTTTACTGACTGACTTTGCTACTAAGTCAACAGGCAGGAAAGGTCAGGGACACTCTGGCCGAGGTAGGAATTTCTGTTCTGCCCTCACTGGCTTCCCTGTGGTGAAAAGCCATTTGCGCTGTTGGGCATGGTTTCCTTTGACTTCCTGGGAGTAGCTCTGCCTGGCACTGCCTTCCCTCTTTCCAGTCACCAGGTCTTCCGCCACCATGAGAGGTGTGTCCCGCAGCTGTGCTTCTGCTAATAAGCACCTCTCAGCAGAGGGGAGAGAGCAGAGCAACATTCCAGGAACCTGTGAGCAGCTGGGCAGCCCTGCAGTGTTCTGGGGTGCTGTTCAGGGCCAAGCAGACGCCAGGAAGTTTCCTCCTTCTGACCACAGGGCACGTGCTAGCCTGGAGCTGTACATGGGGTTAAGGGACAGCCTGGGAAGAGCGACCTTGCGAATCCTAAACCAGTCCAATTGCTTGGGACTGCTCAGAACCCCCACATCCAGTGCCTCTTAGGAAGTTGTTGGTTCTACAGTCTGGATTTTCTCAGCAGTGAGCGCCGAATGAAACCGCAAAAATATGTAGTAAATGCAAGACGGGATATTTGAAGGGTTTCTTAGGTGGTAGAGCTTTTAATAACCAGGTTATCAGATGCAGATTAAAGGCTGCTGTGATGAAGAGTAGCCTGTTTTTCTTGGGTCCAAGGGGCATGCAGCATTTATCAGATGGTATGTTCTAGAACAGCCCAGTTGGAATCCTAAACACTGTTGGCTTGTTTTAGGTGGCTGGTGGAGGTCATCACAATCGTGGGGGAAAAAGAAAGACACCCCAGTGGAATTTGGCACTGTAGATAACCAGCTTGGCAACCAGCTAGGTCCAAACAGATCTTTCCATTCTTTCTAGGTCCTGAAGATAGGTCTCTTCCTCATTCATTTACATTTTCTCAATTAGATCTGAAAACAATTTTTTCTTTTTAATTGAAGATGTATGGGACACATTCCCTTGGTGATACTTCTGGTGGTTCCGAAAGACCCTGGCCTAGTGTTGCCCTAACCTAGCAGAGTCCAAGCATCGGAAAATGCCAGGAAGTGGTAAGAGATCCACAGCCATAGTGGCCACAACCAAACCTGGGAGGTGTTGGGAAAACATAATGGCAGCCGCACCCCAGAGAAAAACCCCAGCATGGTGTCTAATGACTCTCCTTCTCTTCTTTGTTTCTTTCACTGGTGCGAAACGATGGCGCCAGTGTTCAAACCCTGCTGGTGGGAAGCCTTAGCCCCAATTAGAATTAACTTCTTGGGCCCCGGAACTGACACATGGAAGAGCTTGCCAATAAACCAGGCGACCTGTTATCTACCTCAGCCCCTGCTACCTCCCTTAGACCTATATAAACCACACAGCCATTTTTAGTAAAGTGAGACCTCTTTGGTAATCTGTGTTGTGTGGTGTGGCGTTTTCCAGTCTTAAGGAGGAATTTCCTCTTCCTGTCACTTTCAGCAGGTGACAGGGATGTCTCAGGAAGCACCCATTGGTGCTCCACTGCTACCTCCCTCAGTGGATGAGCTGCCTTTGTCACCTGGGGCACACGTGGCTGTGCAACCAGAACTCTGTCCTCTCAATGGTTGGTGAGAATGTAAATGCTGTTTTTCTAGGAAGAATACATTGCACTCTGTCCTACCACAGGGCAGGTCAAGGAGAGATGGGCTAGCAGCCAACCTGGTATTGGTTGAGAAGAATTCATAATTACTCAATTACTAAGAACTCCATAAAAACCATTCTGGGCTCCAAAGGGATCACAGTGAGGAAAAAACAAAAAAAAATCCACCTCAGACAATGCCTTCTATTTATTTCCCTTTTGCGTTTGACCCTTCCATTTTGCTCAGTCAACAAATAGAAACATGTATATATGTATATGTGCATAAAAACTACTCATATAATTGGTTGTTAATATGTTTGTTTCTCCAGATCATGAGTCATGTCTTCCCTGTTTTTTCTTTATAGAGATAACTATTGACTGACAATCTGACTAAATTAGCAAATCCATTGGTATATTAGTTTTTTGTTGCTGCTCTAACTAATTATCATAAACTTGGTTTAAAATAAAATGTATTTATGGGGAACATGGGAAGAATGGAGGAACTTTGGATTTGGAAGGGTCATGGGGGTAGGAAAGATGGTGGAATGAGATGGACATCATTACTTTAGGTACATGTATGATTGCACGAATGGTGCATCTTTATATCGCGTACAAACAGAGAATTGAAATGTTGTGTTCCATTTGTGTATAATGAGTTGAAATGCTTTTTGCTGTCATGTAAAACTAAGTAGAAGAAGTAAAAATGAAATAAAATGTATTTATTACCTATGGTTATTTATACTGGAATTCTGAACTAGGTCTCTCCAGGAGCTGATGTCAAGATGTTAGCAGGCTGCATTTCTTCTGGAGGGTGAAGAAAGAGTCTGTTTCCTTGCCTTTTCCCACCTCTGGAGAGGTGGAGCATGAACTTTGGCTTGCAGCACCCATCTTCAAAGCCAGCAGTGGCAGGCTGGTCCTTCCCCCACTGTGTTGCTGTGATACTGAATCTTCTGCCTCCCTCTCCCTGAGTACAAGGATTACATTGGTCCACCTGGAGAGTGCAGGATGGTCTCCTTACCTTAAGTGCAACTGGATAGGGACTTTTATTTCATCTGCAGCCTTAATCCCCCTTGCCATAATAAGGTAACAAATTCACAGGTTCTGGGGTTTCATAATGAATGAACATCTTGGGAGGGCATTATTCTCGTTGCCACTCTGATCAACAATGCTGGTACATTGTAGGCATGCAATGCATTTCTTAAATGATATGAGTAAATAAATAAAACTTTATTTCTAAGGCCCTCAGTGCTTGGCCCTTTTTATGCTCAAACTTTTTTGAATCTGTCTATATTGTCTTGTTAAGAGTTGTGTCACCCCATAATCCCAGTGGCTCAGGAGGCTGAGGCAGGAGGATCACAGGTTCAAAGTCAGCCTCAGAAATTTAGCAAGGTCCTAAGCAACTTGGTGAGACCCTGTCTCTCAATAAAATACAAAAAAGGGCTGGGAATGTGGCTCAGTAGTTAGGCACCCCTGGTTCAATCCCTAGTACCAAAAAAGAAAAAAAAAAAAGTTGTGTCACTGTCTACCTGCATTTAAAGCATCATTTTCCATACTCTCTAAATTAAAGCAATGTAACAGTTACTGGCATTTCTAGATATATGGTTTCCTGTGTAGTAGAGATTTCAGTTTACTGGCATTCTTTGCAGCAGCCTGGCAGCATGACAAAACATCACATAGTTTGTCTTAGCCTAAATCGCAGCAGGCAGAAGGAAGACCATGCCTGCGGGGCCAGAAGGGAGAGACGTCCAGAAGGGAGAGGGGCCAGAGGGCTTCTGTCTACTTCCATCTGCATCTGAAGGCGTTCCCAGCTTGGGAGCTGAGGCTGAGCCTGGTCTGTTAATGACTTTCATAGGTGGGACAACCAGCATGGTGGCACCTGTCAGGTGCGGTGGCCAGGGAGTGCTGTTTCTGATTTAGATCCAATCTAGAAGGTTCTCTGGCTGCTGAACTGAGCAGACTATGACATGGGTTGCCACAGTATGAGCAGAAGGCAGGTCATGGACTTCAAGTGTCTAGGGTAGAAAAAAATACCTGGAAGCTGCACAAGTGGAAGAAGGTGGTTTTGTTTTTGTTTTGTTTTCTGAAATGATGAATTAAAGGCAGGTATTCTGCAGAGCTGCTTTAGGATTTCCTTTTCAAAAGGCTGCAGTTAATGTGCACTAGCAGAGTTTCATTTCCATGTCACAGGAAGAGCCCAGGTAAAAGTTTCTGGTTTTGGAAAAGAACAACAAATGATACTTGGAGTAGGGCTAGAAAACAGGGATAATGCAAGGGAAAAAGCAAAGAGAAATTAAAATTGAGCAGTGCGTGAGTTCTATGAGTTGATGCTGATGGAGCATTTTTTATGCACCAGGAACCATACAGGTACTTTATTTAATTATAGCTGATTTAATTATTGTAATCCTAACAGCAACACGATGATTAAATGAGAAATACAATATAAACATAAGGAGAGTGATGCTCAGAGAGGTTAGATCACTTACCACAAGCCACACAGCTGCGTTGCCACAAAATAATGTGAAATGACCAAGTACACCGCCATTGTCCTAGATGGCCATGGAAGGCTTGGGGGTTTACACAAAGATGAGGTGGCTTTGTTTATTTGTTTTGGGGAGGTGTCAAATCAGAAGGGTAGTGTCTACGAACCTCTTGAAATTATTTGCAAAAATGTATGGAAATAGGGCTGTGGCTCAATGGCAGAGTGCTTGCCTCACACGTGTGAGGCACTTGTTTCAATCCTTAGCACCACATAAAAATAAATAAATAAAATAAAGATATTGTGTCCAATTACAACTAAAAAAATGTTTTAAAAATGTATGGAAATAAGCCCATATTCATTATTGTGGGACAGTGTCTAGCTTTAATGAGATTCTCAAAAGAGAAAGAAAGAGTTGGGTACAGTGCCATATGCTTATTGTCCAGGTATTTGGGAGACTGGTACAGTGCCATGTGCTTATTGCCTCAGCTATTTGGCAGGAGTTCGAGGTTAGCCTGAGCAACACCTGACTCAGAAAAGGTGAGGAGGAGTATTAAAAGCTAAAGAAAGAGATCAAAGTAGACACAGCATCAGTTTGTGTACTGAGAAAGGAGGAGAGACTCTCAAGAGATCATGACACACCATTTCTGTACTAGCTCTTGGCTCGTCTGAAGAGCACACCCGCTAAGAACCAGTTATTGAGAGTATCCGATATTCTGTATCTAGAGCTCATCTCTACCGAGGCAGAGAAAAGCAGCTGGGAACAGAGATGCAGTCGCTGGTTGCTGCCTGGTAAATTTTGGTGTTAAGGACACTTGACCACTCTTGCTGAGGCTTTGTTTTGAGCACTCTTTACTGTGGCCATGGTGACAAGTCAAATGCGCTATTGAGAGCTGCTCTGTTATGTTGACATCATAAGCACTGAATTTCCTCATTGAGCTGGCGGTTGTCACCAACAGTGATGCTGTTGTCAGGTCCAGGAGGATGCATAGCACTGATAGTCACAGAGGAGCCCCGAGAGTGAGACCCCGAGTACAAATGTCCATGTACCTGGTCATCAGTATTCTCACCATGGGCCCTTTCTCCCGGATGGCACAAGAAGGGTCCTGGCTTTAAGAACTTCATAGTCCAGTGACCAGGTTAAGTAAAGCTGATCACAGTCTAACCCAGAGGGCTTTCATAGAAACAGGTCCATAGGCTCAGGAGTGCAGGGCCATGACCACCTATTCTCACTGGAGACCTTAGCTGACTTCCTGGGCCCAAGGCAGGGGTGGAGATTAATTGGACAGTCAGGAAGTACTTATGCCTTTCTTGCTCCAGGCAAGCTGGATCACATTACTACAGCTAAGAACTGGCCTCAGTAAGGCCTCATGCAGAGGGCACTTAAAAATCTGAGCATACAATTTCCCTCCTCTCTCCCTTTCCCTCCCCCCTCTCAAAAAAAAAAATCTGAGCATAGTCTGCTTTTAGTTGACTTCAAACATTAACACATCTCCCCATGTTCTGCCAGGTACACATTGGCTTTCATTAGCTAAAGTTTAAATCAAATGGTATTGTTCATGGCATACCATAGTTAAGAGCTTCCAGAAGTTATACGGACCAGGTTTTAACAGCTTCATGCTCACAAATTCACACTATCTTCCACTATCTCAAGGAAGGAACCATATTGTGGAATTTAAAAAATACAACCTTCTAGGATTTGCGTCTTATTATTCATGTTTAAGTGTGACAAAATATTTCCAATCCCTTAAATCTGATCTACTACTGGGAGTTAGATGAAGTTCAAATTCAAGAAGGGAGAACATTCCAAATACTTCTTTTGTTGTTGGGACAAACCCAGGCATCTGATAGCCATTGGGGCTATAAAAGCCCTCAAAACACCAAAGGATGAACCTACCATCCAATAAACATCCAATAAACTCTCAATGTTTCCAAGATCAGACACTGGGGATAAAGGAAAAAAGATAGTTAAAAAGTGAGACTATGGGCAAGGAGTCTGATTCTGCATGGCCAATCGGAGGTACACCCTTGCGAGAAGGGTCTGGGAGAGCTGGTTTGGCAGTATTTGGCAAACATCCCATTCATTCACCAAGAAAAGCATCAGAGGCAAACTGGAGGGAGCAACCTGGTCAAGGTCCCTGAGGGCTGAGTGACTCATCGCTCTGCTTTGTAACCACCAGCACTGTTCCCACCCAAAGCACAGCCCTTCCAAGGACTTCAGTGTGTCTGGAAGTGGTTTTTCTCTGCATTGATTTCTGCAGTTTCCCTCTTTCCCTTCCTAAAATGGCACCTGCTCTTATAGAGGCTGGGGGTTCTGTTATCTCAGCCTCCCGCTGCCTATGAGACCTCAAGTAGTTCACATTTTTCTTATCCATAAATTGTCAATAATAAAATCTTTCTTGAAATAGTCTGTGAATAATTTATGTGAATCAAAATGCCCAGCACATATGCTATTGTCTATAAATAATCGCTATTATCCGTATGTTTCTTGTCTCAGAACCTTGGAATGATGCTGGGTCACCAGTTAGACTTCCCATAGCCATTAAGTTAGAACTGTAACCTGTTCTGTTTACAAAAGTACAAAAAGATATAATTTACCACAGCTGTAAAATACCATATTAATATGTACCTTGGGGTTGTTGTGAAGATTGAGTTAATGCACACACAATGCTTGGAACACAACTTGGCATGTAGTCAACAAATGCTCGCTAGTATTGTTGCTGCTGTCATGTAAATACTTGACTCTCTTACCCTGTCATTAAAGGGTTTGGGAACAGGTATGATATGTCACAATAAATGAGAAAATAGCAATGAGAGGTGGGGCAAGGCCAGGAGTCCAGAGACACAGGATTCAGCAATTTTCTTTGACTAGGAATGTGAGCTTGACCCTCTTGGTTCTCTGGGCCAGTTTCCCTTCTCATTCCAGTAAATGGCCTTGGCCACACCTGGTCTATACAGTACATAGGACTATCTGCATTAGATTAAACCATCACATGGACTCTTTGACATTTAAACTGAAAGTACATACAAATTATTTTCATGATTTTATAGGTTCCCAGCAATCAGAAAGAATAGTAAATTTATTACTTAGAAATGGTTTACAGAATAGCTGCCAGTTTATGTGCTTGTTTAATATAATCTTCCCAGCTTAATTGAGTTATTAGCATGCACCTGTGGTGTCCCACATGCATACTCTGAGGGCAGGAATAATGGCCTGTTTTACTTATTGATGTCTTCAAATTGCTCATAACAGTGCCTATCACATAGCTGGAATTTAATAAATATGTATTGTATTCAAATTATAATGTACTAAATACACAAAGGATGTTCTAGAATTTCACATACTTTTTTTTTCTCCCAGCCACTGAAGCACAGGCCCTGTGTAGATTTTCACATGCAAAGCTTTAGGTTTGAGGAAATGAGAGAAATGCTGTTTTCTTATCTTTAAAGGGACAATTTTGAGGGACATCCACTGGGTGGCAAATAGTCTGGATGCAGACAGACACAGCTGTTGGGGTGGTGGTAGTACCAGAATCAGGGTAGTGTGATCACGCACAAGTCAGATAATGGACAGAAAACCAGGAGAGGTGGCCTGTGGTCAGGAGAATTTAGGCTCACCATTTAATTTTCAGAACTCACTTTCATATCTGCAGAACAGGATTCTCAAAGGTTAGGTCTCTCATGCATGTGAGTGGCCTGCTGCTGCCATCTGCTTAATAGCGAGGAACCAACCTTATGAACTTAGGTCTATGGGAAAATGTAGGGC